GGGGCCGTTTTTTTGTTACTGTCATTCATAGGGGGGTATTTGCCATAGTTGCCACGCTTGGCGAGCGGGTTGGCAACCGCAGTTTTTTTATTGTAATTTGGCTATTATCAGGAAGATGCTGCTGCCCATCTCCTGCCTGTTTCCCTTTGTCGCCTTTTACGACACTCACGGGAGGATATGGGGTAGTGGATATTCTTGACCGCCACTACACGGCTAGGTGGATATTAGGAATATATATTTTACAATTTGTCCACAATTACTTTACAACATTTCTTTTACTACCAATAGTTATTTCAATAACTTGTCATAGGGGTTTCCACAGCAAAATATTCAATGGATGCTTACTAGCTAATGAGAAAGAGGACTGACTAAGAATTTGAAACTTAGTGACAACTTTTAACATTAGCAACTACGTATGATATACATAAACATCGTTACAGACAAACAAAAACATATCTTCAATCTTCAATCTCAGAAACCAGTTATTTTTTTATAATCAGAAGCAATAACTCAAGCTGAGATTTGTACTTACGCCTCAATCATGTACCATAAAACTTAATAAATTATATATTTTATTATATACAATATTACAAACTAAATAATAATAAATAAAACTAAAACTAGAAACATAATTATCATATAGTCCTACTCCCCGCGGTATCGTGCCAAGAACGCTGGCTGCGTTTCCCCGCTGAATGGCTATACCTAACCTTTGAGCGAGAAAAGAACCAGCCCTCTTATCACCAGTAGCAACGACCAGCCGCTGATGGAGTTCCTCGAAGTTTGTCGAATGACTTCGTTCAAAGAACTGTGCCGTGAAAACCTACTAGCGCTTTTCTTATATGAAAGTCCGTGGAGCCCAAACCTGTCGACACTGCTACCACAGGGGCACTGATGGGATTGACAAATCGACGCTCCTAGTCGGATTCCTACGGCAATGCGCAAGCTTTTCCCATCAAGTAACGTGCCGAGATTACTTGATGGTAAAGCGTGTAACCAGTGACTAGATTCCTTAGTCGAAACAGCTAGAAGGCATACCTTATCTTGGTCACTATGGAAATTATGAAACAAATCTTTCTACACGCCCTGTACTAATGGAATATCCCACTGTTTTTGTTGGTTAATTCCAGTGGAACATAATCACCAGGACAGAGCGTTTGCCATGTCTGCCCTGCCTCCGTAGCAAAGCATATGTCTACTTTATTATTTAAAATTATGTTACATAAGTCACTGACACTATGCACGGAAGCAAGGAAAGCAGGCAATGCAACGCTAGAAAGATTTCTTACACCAATGCCACCAAATTTTATAGGTAAAATAGCTTGAGTCCAGGCTGTTTTATTTAAAGTTAAATTTAGAATTTTTTCTATAGCTATTTTAAGATTATTATCAATATCTTTAAAAATATCCGAACATTTCCAGATTGGACTCGAGCGGAGTAAGTATGTAAATCTAGGTACAAGAAGACAATATTTTAAAATAGTAATAGCTATGTGGGGGTTTAATTTATACAATTTATCAACGTGGTTTAAAAACTGATCAAATTTTGTTTTTAATCAGGTTTAATACTACCGAAATACAACGGGGCACCTAGCAGGTATAGTGATTCCGTACTGAAAGTTTTTATTACTGGACAAATATGATTGAAATTTTGAATTAAAATGTCTCTATGAGAAGTAGATAAATTATTGGCAAAAAATATTTCACATTTATTGCTATTTGGTTCAAGACCAATATTTTTGAAATCTCGACAAATATAATCACTGAGTACGTCATCTGCTCTACCTCGCAGTGTACCGTCGTCTAGGTACCAGACATTCAGCTTGGATTTCAAATTTGATATAATGGGTTGAATTGCCAAACTGATTAGTGCTGGACCCAGTGGGTCACCCTGCTGAACACCGACAGCATAATCGATAACATGATTTTCGTAAAACAAGTTAGTATTTTGACTATAACATTGACAAACGTAATGATAAATTTCGGGGTATTGTTAGCCACTTCTTTCAACAAGGTTATCCTATCGATAGAGTTAAAAGCATTCCTTAGGTCAACCTTCACAAGATCATCTACATCAGAGTTTGTTAAAAATGTTCGCACTGAATGTACCGCCGCCTCACAGCCACCTCTAGTGCCAAAGCCTAGTTGAGTAGGCTGAAATTTATTTGGTCTTAAGGTTAGAGATTTTGTGCCTGCAAGCTAATTTTGAAGTTAAGCGTCGAAATGTGGAACCAACGGCAATAGCACGGATACCGTCTTGAGGATGTCGTCTGAGAATAAAATACGGGATGCATTTTTAAGTCGCCATACATTACTTTCGACTCAACTACTTATTTTATATATCAAATTTAGGACGTGGTCGAGGTAAATGAGTATTAATTGGGTAATCTAAATTTTGAAAAGATGTCTCTTTTAGTTGTGACGTAATTGATTTATTTATTGTTTTATCAAAATGAAAATGGGAATACGCGAAAGTAAATAATTTTTGCCAACTATTTTCACAATTAGTGAATCAATTTTGAATAGTGCATGACACTGCTTTAGCAAGCTGCATCCTCGCACCTCTAGGAATTCTTTTAACCACCGTTATATTACGATGATAATTGTAAATTTGCTCCGAAAAAAGGGAAAAATTTGTGTCATTAGAGGAATTGCTAATAGAGTTATGAATTTCTACGGTAGGCTATGAAGCCGAAATATTTTTACTATGGCATCGTTTAATATGTATATTTAATCCCCTGTGAATGTAGCGGATCAGAGATATTCATTTAAAAATATAAACAGATCTCTACAGCACTCAAAAGTCTTTATATTAGATAGCTTAATATTAACTTGAAATGTGCTGTACCCTGCATCTTTCCCTGAAACACAATCATTTATGGCCTAAATAAAAGCACTTTACTCTATAAATGAAATATTATCAAATTACTTCCCTGGATTTATTCCATACTGATAAAAATTGTATGTAGTTGTTATGCTTTGACAGTTGACAACGACGCAGCAGAAAAGTATTGTGTCTGAAATCAAAAAATTATTATTATAACAACTCTCTTATATATTTACTGATCTGTTTGTTGAAATTTGTTAGCCAGAATTGGCCTCTAAATAACAAAATAAAATAAGATAAATATACGTAGCTTTTGACAGTGAAAAATTTTGACAGACATCAATCATCATCATTGTACCATAAAATATATGGTATAATGCAATAATAAAACGAGCTGACTCTGTCGATATTACTATGATAAATAATATATAGATATACATGATAGTTCTTCGTCGTTTTACGTGGTAAGGCCACGTAGCTATAAGCTGCAGTGTGGTTCCACGCCACGAATGGGTCGTCTCAACCGGGGTATTGCAATGCTCTAACAGAATGTCAGCGTGAAACAGCAGAGTAATGCTGCTGTGTTTCGTATGGTGAGTATAGAGAACCAGAGACGCTTTTTACTGGTAATGGGGCATTCCAATTTAAACCTCAGGTGTGATAAGGCGTCTGCATTTTTAATTATTAATTATTCTATGGATTACATCATATACTTACTGTAGGTAAACTCAGTATTCGGTAATACTCATTCTGTAAAAATAAAACCTTATACATACTAATAAATTTTGTTGTATATTATCTAAGCATTCTGTTTTTCAAATCTAAGTACATAAAGGCGATGACAAAATGACCATTTTTAAAAGTCACACAAACAACCGCAAGGTCAATTACCCAACTTGCCATTTACGATGAACTTTTAAGCCCAAAATAAATGTAGCAAAGACACAGCCCATACTTAAATAAATGCTGCCTTTGAAATATGGAATGTATTTAAATTGTGAAATTTGGGTGTGTTTATTTAGTGATACTTATTGATAGGGTTTCAGTTAGATTGCTATAAGTTATTTTACAGTGTTGACTTGATATTAATTCACGTGAATAATATTACCGTTACAGTCGCTTAAAGTCCACTGCTGAACATATGGCACTCCAATATATTGCCTCATAGTGGGAATATTCGCCATGGTTGCCACGCTTGGCAAGTGAGTAGTTGTTGCCCATATCCTGGTTTGTTTCCCTCCGTCGTCTCTTACGACCGCCACTACACGGTCAAAATGGAATTAATTTAAATATCAACCAATGTTGGTGTTTAGATTAATTCCACCTTACAATATTCTAAATAAAAACCAGTCCATATATATTGTTTATTTTTGAATTTACACAATATACAAGCAACAGAGTATGTTGATATTTAAAGAAATATATATTTATACATTGAGTAGTACATATAACTCAATGTATTTATATCATTTATTTAAAGTTCAGTTATGTTTCTAGCTACCTTTAAAATTAGAATAATGCACACCTTTTAGAGCTGTACGCATTTTCTTAAATTATTGAAGAGTTACGTAAAGGCGCTGTGCATATGAAGGAGAAGGTTAACATGGATTAAAATTACACGATAATGACCTCAATATGGTCTCCAAACGGACGGGTCGTAAGATGAACATGGACAAGACAAAGGTGACGTTACATTATGTACCTATGTTGGTGGTTGTTTTTATTCCGATTATATATCCGATATAACCGACTTGATTCGACACTTATTGCATACATTGTGTATGCCATACAGAATAGCTAATTAAGCTTGCATAAAAACTGATTCTAATGTTTAAAAAATGAACTTACAGAAGTCACAAAATAGAAAGTTGATCGTGTTAGCAGTTCGACTCGTATTTTTTTATTCACAATTACTAAAAATACTTTGGCCAGTATTGAATGAACTTGTTTATTTTTTTTAAATATTTCTGATAGATTTTCACTTGGGAATGGAAAATACACTACTTTCTACTCAGCATGTAAAATAAATTCATTAGTCTGACATGTAAACTTAAAGACAGCTGTTTAACATTGTGGGTGTATTAAGGAAATATTTATGAGTGATAAGATAAACAGTAATCAAATAAACTGATTGAAGTAACACAGCTGCCGAATGTTTCGATTACGACGGCTCAGTGTTACAAGTGGATCAAACAAAGATGGACCGAACCTCAGTGTCTGAGTTAGAGAAAATCAACAAAAGTGCCGTTGAAAATGGAAGTGATGTGACGAAAGAGAATTATTATTCAAAAGAAAATAACCATATTCGAAGACAGGTTTGTTCTGTTCTAATTTTTAATTATGTATATAACTTACATAAAATTAAAAATGTTTTTGAAATAATTAAACGTTAATATTTGTTTGCGTCTATATTGTTTACATTTTAAAAATCATAAAAAATAAACGAAATCAGCATTTTATACCAATAATATGCTAAAAACCTATAAGATAAAGCAGAATATTTACTAAAATACAGACATATTTTATCGGTTTCAGTAATATGGACAGATTTTTTATATATTATATATTATAGTTTATTTGAAATACATAGTGTTATTTTACATAATGTTACTAAAATTATTGGAAATTCGGATGTGTTTCATATAAATTTCGTAGGTATATCATGATTTGGAAGAACAAAGAAAAATGTTGCTTTAAAATAAAATACAAAAAAATTCCGAAGTCATGTGAACTTCGCAAATACGCATTGGGGAAGCGCGGCGGACATTTCCTGGGAATAGGCCCAGCAGTGGGACGTATATAGGCTTTAACTTTAGTTATACATAAGTTATTAAAAAAATATTACTAACAGGCAAACAATCTCATTATTACTAATATTATAGTAATACTGCTCTGATATGTGAGAAGGCGGCTTATCCACAAAAGTGTGTGTCGAGAAAAATTTAAAAATATTTCAACTATTGGATTGCATGTAAAAAAATTACGAATCTTTCATAAATATTTTTGGCTGAAATTACCGACATACAGTTGTGCAAATTCTAAAAATGTAATTAAAGTAAGTTTGAAACATTATATTTGAATATTTATCATAATATATAAGGCACTACTAATATACAAGTATACCTTAACTGCTTTTTTAGTAAAGCACTGACAATAATCATAAGCAAAATGCAGCTAACCTACTTTAAGTTTCTTTTGATTTCTGACGCATTCTTGAAATTATTATCTTAGACTACGCTTTGTTACAATTTAGTGATATCTGCTTTATTTTATTATTGCCTTCGTTTATTCAGCAAATAATCAAATTAAATACAAGTGCAACTAAACTAAAAGATAGCTAAATGTACATTAATCTCACGGAACCGCTTATTTTGTTAGCACTAGCATAGGTAACATTATTATGTAAGTTTGAAAAGCTGCCAAGTGTAAAATAAAAATGTGCTTTAGTTTAAGTAATATCTAAATTTTATTCATGCTTAGCACTAGCAGCTATCAGGAAAAACGAGAGAATTATTTTTTTGCTTAAAGAACCTGTTTTTTTTTTATTTTGAAATGCGTATTTGTGCTCTACCAAACCGTTTTCAATTATAATTCTTCATCTTCTGCCAAATATGATCTGATGAATCTGTTTTATTGAAATTGGCAGGCGGCAAGAAGTATGATGTAGACTGATTGTCATCTTCTTCAGAATCAGAACTGTTTTGCGGCATTTCCACTGACGGCACGTAGTCCTTATCTTTTACATAATCGTCAGAGTAAAAATTTTATCGCTTTAATCTTAATGATGGCGCTCTTCTACTGATACTGGAAGACGTACTGTAGACGGCAAGGGGTAACTAATTTTACAGACTGTTACACAAGGGGTAACACATTTTACAGGCGGCAAGGAGTGATTAATCAATTAATTGTTGTCTTCCTCAGAGTTGGAGTTATTGTGGGGCGTGTTTATCGTTGGCACACAGTTTTTATTTACGAGTATAGCGATCAATTAATTAAAATCATATACATCGCTAACAGATACCATTTCTTCATTACAAAAAATATTTAATGAGTTTTATTCGTTATCAGTTAAGTCAATCAATTGTGTATTTTCATTTTCGTGTTACAAATTATCAAGTTTGAACATCCCACGCCAATTTCGTAGTCGACAAAGTTTATGAAATTGATTCAGAATCACTTATGAGATTCATAGAGTATCTCTCTGAGACTCATATTTACGCCACTTACTCATTTCATCTGCCTCTGATGCCGCTCCGGCTCAAACGAGGTAACCCTGAGATGAGAGTTGCCAAAGTGTCCACGCAAGTAGCATTCTAACCTAGGGCATTACCTCTCTCCCAAGGAATATCTTCTCTAAATATTCCACAAGTCTCTAAAAGCGAGGGAACATTTATAGATACGAGCCCTTCGGATGACATCGTTCAAAGAACCGTGCCGTGAGAACTTACTAGTACTTTTCTTACATGAAAGTCAGTGGAGCCCGAACTCGTCGACGCTGCTACCGGCACTGCTAGGAGCACTGATGGGGTTGACAAATCATCGCTCCTAGTCGCATCCCTACGGCGATGCGCAAACTTTCCCCATCAAGTGACTAGATTCCTTAGTCGAAACAGATAGGTGTGCTCGATTTTGGTCACTATGAAAATTATGAAACAAATCTTTCTGCACACTCTGTACCAAAGGAATATCCCACTGTTTTTTTGTTGGTTTACGTCCAGTAGAACATTTTCGCCGGGACAGAGCGTTTGCCATATCTGCCCTGACTCCATAGCAAATCACAGGTCTACTTTATTATTTAAAATCATGTTACATAAGTCGCTGATACTATTGCACGCAAGCAAGGAAAGCAGGCAATGCAACGCTAGAAAAATTTCTCACACCAATACCACCAAATTTTATAGATAAAGTAGCTTGAATCGAGGCTGTTGTATTTAAAGTAAAATTTAGAATTTTTTCTATAGCTATTTTAATATTATTATCATATCTTTTGAAATATATCAACATTTCGTGACTGGACTCGAGCGAAGTAAGTTTATAAATCTAGGTGCAAGGAGACAATATTTTAAAAAGTTATACAATTTATCAACGTGGTTTAAAAACTGATTAAACAGGTTTAATACTATCGAAAAACAACGGGGCACCTAACAGGTATAGCGATTCCGTACTGACAGTTTTTATTCTTGGAGAAGTATGATTGAAATTTTGAATTAAAGTGTCTCTGTTAGAACTAGATAAATTATTGGAAAAAAATGTTTCACATTTATTAATTCTATTAAATTTCTTTCTCGTAATTTACGTTTGATCTGCAAGCGGCAAAACGTTGGAGGAAAATTGAGTCTAAAGTTCCTTCTTATTGGAAAAGATACATTTATTTCGGACAGTAAAATAATTTTGAAAATCATAAATCCAAACAAAGGAATATATTTCTGATGCACCCTGACAAGAACTCTGACCATACTTGCCGATGTAATTCATCACGCACACATCGATTGCTAAACTTACACTTAAACGCTTTTAAGGGTTTAACTGTAAGTTTAGCAAGTTTAGTTTAAATATTATGTCAAATATAATTCAATTTCATTCATACACTAAAAAGCCGTGACTGCTCTTTTGGGAAGTATGTGATTTTAATATATTATTAAATTGTACGCTTGAAAACAGTTAAGTGTTGTTAGCCGTATTTTAGCTTTTACTACTAGTGTTTACCGCTTCATAGCATATTATTAAGGTATAGCCTAGCAAAACTGCTGCTAAGGAATAAAGCAACTACCTGCGCTTAACTGCCTCTTAGCTTAGGAAATGTGTTTAACTGCATTTTTTCTTATTTTTACAAAATCAAATATTATACTTCAACTATAAAAATAAATCGTTAAAATCAATTATCGGTTTTATAGCGTAACGGTGCATAGTAACTGATTTCTAGCGTATGATAGTAAAGAAATTTTTTACACAAACGTAAAAATATTATTGCAATATTGGCCGATAGAGAATTGTTTGCTTAATTTAGTGGTGCTGAAAGCTCAAAATCGGCAAAATGCACTTAGCCGCTTTCTTCCGTATTAGGACAGTCACAGTCACAGTTTCACCATAAAATGCTACAAGGAACGGCCGTGAGCCGGCTACAACCATAGATTCCCTGCATCCATATCAAATGATATCGTCGGTATACAAGTAACTAGATGACTGCACTAAAGTAGTTAAATTTTTACGCTAATTCTATCACGTTAAGAATCTTCTTTACCACCCTATCGAATATGACAAATGGCTAACGGTCAGTGGACGAAAAATTTCTGAAAACATAAACTAAAAGAAAAGAAAATAGAACCTATTTTTCAAATTGCTTTGGATTCGCTAACGCGAAAATACTCAAAGTACATTCGTACATTAGTCTAGCCTAAGATAATTGCTGTTAACATTGCTATAATTACTAATACTCTACAAGCATAAGATACGTGAGCTACAGATAGAGAGGTTAACAGCAGTACACAAATAGCAGATTTAAATTCACAATTTAAGATTTCGCAGGGCGTATCCCAAACTGTTAGTCAACTTTCGCTAACAACCTTTAAAAAGAAAGATCTATATTTTATACAAATAAATGTGCTGTGGACCCAACATCTTATCCTCAAATAATAATCAAAATGCAGAAGCGGTATCACCGTTAAGAAATAAGATTTCTCGTTACCGGGAAAAGTGTCTCCGATTCTCGTCACAGCAGTATTACGCTGCTCTTTGCACTGATATTCTGTGCAAGTGATATATTCTGTTACTACCACACTTGGTGAAAGTACTTCCAAAAACAACTTTGTTATCACACATTTTTTCTATAACACACTCTGGTTATAAAGAATAACTATAACACAATACTGAGGTGGATATTAGGAATATATATTTTACAATTTGTCCACAATTACTTTACAACATTTCTTTTACTACCAATAGTTATTTCAATAACTTGTCATAGGAATTTCCACAGAAAAATATTCAATGGATGCTTACTAGCTAATGAGAAAGAGGACTGACTAAGAATTTGAACCTTAGTGACAACTTTTAACATTAGCAACTACGTATGATATACATAAACATCGTTACAGACAAACAAAAACATATTCAATCTCAGAAACCAGTTATTTTTTTATAATCAGAAGCAATAACTCAACCTGAGATTTGTACTTACGCCCCAATCATGTATCATAAAACTTAATAACTTATATATTTTATTATATACAATATTACAAACTATAATAATAATAATAAAAAAAACTAAAACTAGAAACTTAATTATCATATAGTCCTACTCCCCGCGGTATCGTGCCAAGAACGCTGGCTGCGTTTCCCCGCTGAATGGCTATACTTAACCTTTGAGCGAGAAAAGAACCAGCCCTCTTATCACCAGCAGCAACGACCAGCCGCTGATGGAGTTCCTTTAGGAACTTCACCGCACGTGGACCCCATGGACCGGTAGTCTCTACAGCAAATGGCAAAAATATGTAGTCATCTCTCAGAAACTCATATTTGCGCCACTTACTCAGTTCAGCTGCCTCTGATGCCGCCCCGGCTCTAAACGAGATACCCCTGAGATGAGAGGCCGCCAGAGTGTCTACGCAAGTAGCATCCCACACTAGGGCTTTACCTCTCTCCCAAGGGACCAATGTCATACCGTCGGGTCTCCTGCCATCGTCTCTAAATATTCCACAAGATTCTAAAACCGAGGGAATATTTTTAGAGATAAGAGCCCTTCGAATGTCATCGTTCAAAGAACTGTGTCGTGAAAACCTACCAGCGCTTTTCTTATATGAAAGTCCGTGGAGCCCAAACCTGTCGACGCTGCTACCACAGGGGCACTGATGAGGTTGACAAATCGACGCTCCTAGTCGGATTCCTACGGCAATGTGCAAGCTTTTCCCATCAAGTAACGTGCCGACTTATCTTTATTATTACCGATATTTCTAAGAGAATTGTTTGTTTTGAACGCCACATGAACGCCGTTTTGTCGAAGAGTATTACCGTTGCATTGCTGAATGAACAAACAAATGTTACTAACTCACCTCTCTTAAATATCTTCAAACCTGCTCTCTAATAACAGAGAGCCTCGCAATATGGTCGTTTGTCATCCTCACGGTGATCGGCGATTGGTTGCGTGGTTAGAGGGTGGCCGTTGCGCGGCGGTTTGTTTTTAATTTTACAAACGGCAGCGTAAGTCCAGCGGTGATTGGGCGCATGTTTTATCGCATGACGCAGTCGCTCGCTCCTTAGGTAGAGAGCGGTTGCATCATCGGTCTGTATAAAAAGCACTTGTTTTGGCTCGCCGCTCACTTAGCGGTTAGCCACCGTAGAGGCGAAACACGTGTCGTTTTATCGTCAGTGGTGTGTCTTGCCTAGTAGAGTGGTGTTGGGAGTAGCGGTGCTGGGATTAGTGGTGACGGGGATAGTGCACGCAATTGCGGGAGGGCGGGAGGTGCTTTTCATACTAGGTAAGACACATCATTTTATTTTATAACGCGGATACTTGCGAAGTAAATTTTTCTAAAATCTTATATATAATGGATTTCCGCAAAGTAACGCCTGATTCTATTAATTATATCACTGAGTACGTCATCTGCTCTACCTCCTAGTGTACCGTCGTCTAGGTACCAGACATTCAGCTTGGATTTCATATTTGAAATAATGGGTTGAATTGCCAAACTGAATAGTGCTGGACCCAGTGGGTCACCCTGCTGAACACCGACAGTACAATCGATAACATTATTTTCGTAAAACAAGTTAGTATTTTGACTATAACATTGCCAAACGTTATGATAAATTTCGGGGTATTGTTAGCCACTTCTGTCAGCAAGGTTATCCTATCGATAGAGTTAAAAGCATTCCTTGGGTCAACCTTGACAAGATCATATGCATCAGAGTTTGTTAAAATGTTCGCACTGAATGTACCGCCGCCTCACAGCCACCTCTAGTACCAAAGCCTAGTTGAGTAGGCTGAAATTTGGTCTTAAGGTTAGAGATTATGTGCGTGCAAGCTAATTTTGAAGTTAAGCGTCGAAATGTGGAACCAGCGGCAATAGGACAGATACCGTTATCCTTTTTTTGAAGGCACTTCTTGCCCCATATAAGAATGCAAGAAAAAAAATGGAATTGACATTGTTGCAGCTATATGAATAGTACAGTTGTAGCACGAATGGGTCGGCTCGACCGGGGAAGGACTACGCTTTCACAGAATACCAGCGTAAAATATCAGCTTGACACTGATGTGTTTCGTGTAGTGAGTGTAGAGAACCGGAGATCTTTTTACTAGAAAAGAGGCATTCCATCTTAAGGCGCATGGTTGAGCAAAATGTCGCGCTAGTCGTTATTTGTGCAGTTTTTAGGAGCTATCTTCTTTTTATTAAAAAAATACTAACTAATAAAAAACACATTATATTTCTACATAATCTTGATTTCATAAGAGTCATATCCAATTTTTTTCAAAAGGTATAAATATTGAAATAATCTCCTTACAACGAAACCATATAAATGTGAAATAATTATTGATAACATGCATGTCCTCGTAAAGTAAGCATTATTTTATTTTGCGATTGACACTAATGGATAGGCAATTTATTAATGAACATTTCTATTATAATTTTTTTTAAAAGACCAAAATTTGATTTTATTAAGAAATTATTTTAAAACCTGGGCGTATTCACTGTCCACAGGGTTGCTGGAGTCAGTGAACGCTAAGCTCTTGAAGGTGAAACCCGTGTCGTTAGTCACGGCGTCGGAGAGCGCACACGCTCACGTCATCTTATCAGTCGATAATATTATTATTACTTATTATGTTATTTATAGGTAGTATTATTTATTTATTTAGGGTATAATTTTTCGTATTAGTTATACATATATTTGTTGTGTTTTTTACTGCGCGATGAAGCTTTTAGCGTGTATTTTATTTGAAGTAAATGTAAATATAAAAATTAAGCACCATTAGCATGTAAGGTTTGAATCCATAATTTACATTTCGACAAATGTTATAATTTACACTATAAAAAGTTAATTCAATATTATCAGTATAGTATACAGTTAAAAATAATCTTAATACCTAACCACAATATCTTAGTAGGTGTAGTAATTCGGTAAAAAGTATCTAAGTAGGTATTAATATACCTACCCAGTATAACTAATCACAATAGGTACCTATGTAGGTATTATGATTAGATAAAAGGTACTTATCTAAATAGTTACCTACTTTTACTAAGTAAGTACTAATACCTACCCGGGCATCATTTAATTACAACCCAAAAACCCCTATGAACTTAAATTTTAAAACTAAATTTAACTAAAAAAAACTAAACTGTCCATTTATTTTTTAACTCAAAACAGGACATGGGTTTATTTTTACTCTAAAAATTATAATTTTATACAATTAGTGTTCACTATAAAATTATATTCGGTATAGACGGTAATTATTAAATGCAACATATTTTTTTTGTGTTGGTGATGATTTTAAATAAGAATAAAATTCTGGGCAAGTTTTTTTTATCGTTACCTTTGTTAACAACATCGCCTTTAGAACTGGAACCGTAAGTGTTTTTTTCAGAAGTCCACAATTTATTCAAAATAGAAAAATACTCTTTCTACTGGAGCATTTGTATGATGTTTGTCCTTGTGCAATTTACGTTTGTAAACTGCCTCCACGACACAGGAGAAAATCCTAGTGTGAAGGTAAAGTTTTTTTTAAATTAAAATTGAAAGATTGAACCCTTATACTTCTTGTTGATTTTGTATTACCTTTATTAAAGTTACGCTTATGTATAAATAAATATAATTACGTATATAGAAATAAAATTGAAAAAAATAAAATAAAAACAAACATGTTTTTTTTCATCCTCATCAAACATTGGGGTGAGGGTAATGTCAGCCAGCATAAATAATAAGCAGGCTAAGTTACAAGGTACTCAGTTCAAATATTAGTAGGTAGGTGTTACTTTTCAATACGTGACACGTAAAAATTAATAATAATCAAAACCACATCTGCGAAACATCCTATTTATTTATTTATTCTTTATTGCACCAAATATTTGTACAAAAGGCGAGCTATCTGTCTATTTACCTATAGTGAGTAGGTATCTTTTAAACTCACAATTTTCAATGCTTCATTTTTAATATATAATTAATTATAAAATTTCACAATTAGATAATATATGAGAATACATAATTCTAATATGGTGCAACTAATATACCGAATAAAAAAATTAAAATACATTTATCGTTGTACGCCGTGTGTATTTCCATAAAATATTTCTATGAGTTTATTGATGTTGAAAAAATAATACTACGTTCGTACAGTAGGTGGCGTCTTGCATATTTCTTACGCGATATATTGTAGCTAGTCGGTGCGGCGGACGGAATGCTCAAGGTCGTTCGCATGGAGTAGCCCCTTAATGTAGGACCTCACTCCTACTATGTTTCGTATAGTGAGCGTATAGAACCGGAGACGCTTTTTACTCTAAACAAGGCATTCCATCCATCCATGAATCTGCATTTTAATTATTAATCGAGGCTAAATATATATGTCATTGGGTCATAGCATCCACATACCACCAGGTGGACTGTGTGCTCGTTTGTCACTCTTGTTCTATAAAAAAATGGTGAGTGTAGAGAACCGGAGCACCTTTTTTATTGGAAACGAGGCATTTGGTTTTAGTGTAGTCTACGAAATAGTCTCGCCTAGTCGAAAAAAAAATATCGGTAGAGCCATGAAAACTATCACGCATGAAATAAATCGATTATGCTAGTTTTACTCGTTAAATATCTGAATTAATGTAGAAAGGAAGCTATGTATAATTGGTAGACATTTGTGGAATTTCAATAAATATAGTAATAAAATATATGGAATATTTTATTTTTATGTAAATCATTAAACGATCTGCGTTTACGCACTCACTTATTACAGGAAGAAATATTACTTTCAAAAAGTTTTATTTTTAGATAACGATACTATTATTTTATTTTCAGGCTTTTATAGTACTCGGCACATTTTTGTTGACACTCAGCGCAGGTGCAACGGCAGGGTTTTCTGCAGTCCTTATTCCGCAACTACAACACGCAAAGGGACATAAAAAATACTCTACCGAGATGGTGTCTTGGGTAGGTATGTGTAAATATAAAATAATTTTAATGATAAACTTTCATTATCTGCTTATAATATTTGATATTTTTCTTTTCAGCGGCTATTTCGTCACTGGCTTTATTATTCGGTAACATGATTTCAGGATATCTAATGGATAGATTGGGTAGAAGATCATCTCAAATGCTACTTTCATTGTTTTATATTGGAGGATGGATAACAATAGCAATTACGACTAATATACATCTAATTTTGGTTGGAAGATTTATAACTGGCCTTTGTCAGGGATGGTTGGGTCCCCTTGGGCCAGTTTTTGTGGGAGAAATAAGTTCGCCGGCATATAGAGGTTTGTTCTTAGCAAGCTTGTCATTGAGCATTGCTTTCGGAGTGTTCATGTCACATCTATTTGGAACGTTGCTGCACTGGAGTCATGCATCTTTGCTTTGTGGAACTTTTCCTCTAATTGGATGCATTATACTGTATTATGCCCCAGAATCACCAGCGTGGTTTGCCTCAAAGAATCAAATAAACAAGTGTATTAAATCATTCCAATGGTACAGAGGTACTAGTCCATCTATGAAAGAAGAATTAGATAAAATGATATTAGAACATACAAAGAAAGTTCATAAAAGAAGCAAGATTGAAACCTTGAAAACAAACATCAGTAAACCCGAGTTTTGGAAACCTTTATGTATTATGCTCGTGTTTTTTGCAATAACTCAACTCTCAGGGATAAACGTCTTTTGCGCTTACACAACTGAGATTATGGAAGTTTTATTAGGTAGTAAAACTAACACATATGCGGCCATGTTGGGAATAGATATATTGCGATGCGTGGCTTTACTCACAGCCTGTATCATGCTAAGAAGATTGGGTCGAAGACCTATTGCAATATTTAGTGGAACCTTTACATCATTATCCCTTATAATTTTATCAATTTATTTATACTTAGTGGAAGCTAATGTTATAAAACAAGTCACGCCTGTAATATCGTTAGGATTAACAGCAGTGTATATTGTTGTGTCACACATAGGTATAGGCCCCCTTCCTTGGAATATGGTTGGAGAAGTATTTGCATCGGAAACAAAAGGCATAGGTTCAGGTTTAAGTGTTATGATGACGTCAGTTTTTTTCTTTGGTACAGTAAAAACCGCGCCAGCAATGTTTAAAAATATAGGACATTACGGTACTTATTTATTTTATGGAATGTCAACATTAATTGGTACGATATTTTTGTATTTCTGTCTTCCCGAAACAAAAGGAAAAACTTTATTACAAATAGAAGAACGCTTTAGGCAAGAAAAGAAAGATAATAGAAACCATTTGAGATTCATTAATTTAATTAACTTGTAAATACGTAGTAGGAGTAGTAATGATCATACCTACGCTCTCGAGCAAAAATACTGGATGCGCTATTATGGAGTTTTTTCTGTTATGTTAGATTCATAGTCTATAGGTTAGAATTCACCTTGATAATTTTTTCACATTTATCTAGCTTTATTATCGAGGTATAATAAGATATAATAACACTTTTATTGCATGGAAATTCACGAGCTTGATAATGACCAGAAAAATATCTTTTTACTTCTCAACAAAACACTTTTTTTTTGGTAATATAATATAACATTAGTCATTGTAACAGTATTGGCGTAAACAAATATTAATAAAGTGCTATTACTATAATTTTGTAGCTTTATTTTAAGTAAAATCGATCTATAATGAGATTTAAAGTTCTTTTGTGATTATTTATTTTTATTGTATTATGTATTAACATTTACGTATGCTCTATTATATGGTAGTCATTTCGACATAAATGTTTTTATTTTCTATTCTGACGTTTTGACTGTTCGTAAGGCACAACATCATGTTTCGTTACATACCGTTAGAAAACAAAACACATGGAAAATAATTCCATTTGAAAATACTGCAAACAGAGAGACATACAGACAGACTATAATTAATAATTTTTTTGTTCTTAGTACCGTTTATACTTTCATGTGCATTAATAAAAATCTGTTATTTTGACATTACAAATAGTCACTTAAATTTTATATATTTGGATAGATAATATAGATATAGATGTATAGATAGTGCATTTAATTTTGACCGGGCTAGTACCACGCTTGCTATTATATAATATAGGCAGTATAATGCAGTGTTTCGTAGAGTGTGTCACGAGAACTGGAGACTTTTTTTGTTGGTAATGAGGCATTCCGTCTATTTCTCAACTGTGACAATGATACAATATAGATGATATTATAAATCTTGACCTACATGTACACGGTCAAGATTGTAGCCATCTTACCCGTATAGTGGCGGGTAAGAATACTCACTACCCCATAACTTCCCGTGGGTGTCGTAAGAGGCGACAGAGGGAAACTGAGGCAGAGGATGGGCAGCATCATCTTTCTGATAACAGTGAAACAACAATAAAAAAACCGCTCGCCAAGCGTGTCAACTATGGCAATATACCCCCCACGATAGTAGCGAAGAGACGGCCCCCAGTCCCCAGCGGTCCCGCTATTCCTGGCTTCGAGGGCGACCATGGTAACAGCGGGGCAGGGGGTGCTAAGAATCTCCGGTGGAGGTTTGGTTGCCACCTACGACGATTCGACCTGGCAACTTATAACGCACTCTCCCTGAGGACTGACGAGAAGATCCTGACGTTGGAAGAAGAGATAGACAAGTTGCGCTGGAATATCATAGGATTATCCGAGGTCCGAAGAGAGTGGGGAGAACACGGTTATCCTCAAATTCGGCAACTTGTTCTATCACCGAGAGAGCGACCATCTGTCCCAAGGCGGTGTCGGATTTATCGTCCACAAATCTCTCGTTAACAGCGATGTAAAGATTGGGAGTGTGTCGACGAGGGTTGCGTATCTTATACTCAGAATCAAAAAATGGTATTCGCTGAAGGTCATACAGGTTTACGCACCAACCTCGGCACACACCGATGAGGAGGTGGAGGAAATGTATGAGGATATCTCTAGAGCCACGCATTCCTCCAAACCACACTATACGATGTTAATGGGAGACTTCAACGCAAAACTAGGCACAAGAGAGAACGGTAAGCTGAAAGTAGGAAAATTCGGAATAGGGCAACGGAACGCTAGGAGCCAGCAGCTGGCCGACTTCATGGAGAAAGAGGAACTCTTTATGATGAACTCTTTCTTCCAGAATTGGCCCCACAGGAAGTGGCCCTGGTCGAGCTCCGACGGTTCGACAAAAAATGAGATTGATTGTTCAGTGATGCCTCAGTGATCGCGAGAGTGAAAACCGGCAGCGATCACAGAATGATGAGAGGCACACTGAACCTAAACATTAAGTTGGAGAGGTCACGTCTAATGAAGTCTACGCTCCGTCACCCTCGTGCTCTAATCCAAAGTCCCGAAACCTTTCAGCTCGAGCTACGAAACCGTTTTCCGTACCTAGAATATTGCAATGCAGTGGACGATATGAGTGACAAGCTCGTGGAAGCTTTTTTTTCTCTACACTCACCATACGAAACACAGCAGCGTTAAGCTGCTATTTTAGGCTGGTGTTCTGTGAGAGCGTGGTCCTTCCCCAGTCAAGCTGACCCATTCGTGTTACAAACATAATATAGCTGCATCGTGGCTCTACCACGTATAAAAGAAGCTGTCCATGCGGTCGAAGCTAAATTTTGCAAGACCCGCCGCAGAAGAACACAAAAACTCTCCAATCACACTCTTAATATCATGGCTGTTAGACGAGATATGAAGCTGCAGTCTTCAATAGATTTGACAGCATACAGGCAACGGAACAGACAGATCTCCAAATGCATGCGGCGGGACTTATGCAACTTTAATACTGCTCGTATTGAAGAAGCGATCGTGCGGAACCAGGGCTACAAAGTCTTTGCTAGAGATCTGTCTGAGAGAAAAAGCCAACTGTCGAAGCTGAAGACCGAGTTTGGCAGCGTCGTTTCCGGGACACCTGAGATTTTGAGTGAGATTGAGAGGTTGTATGGGTACACATCATCGTTGAAGCCACACTTAAGTGTGAGTAACGATCCAAACGATCCAAGAGCGAGTCTTACCCAACACTATTCCGATGATATCCCGATAGTCTGAGCGAGATTTGAATGGCTCTCCAGGCCCTTAAAAACGGCAAGGCCCCAGGCGAGGATGGAATTACAGCGGAGCTTCTGAAAGCGGGTGGAAAACCGGTACTTGAAGTCCTTCAGAAGCTCTATAATTTCGTCCTCCATGGTGGCATTACACCAGGAGAAGAAGTGCGGTGGTGTTGTTCTTCAAGAAAGGTGACAACGCTCTCTTGAAGTACTACAGACCGATTTCCCTTCTGAGCCGCGTCTACGTGCTGTTTTCGAGAGTCATTACGAATCGTCTCGCGCGCAGACTTGACGACATCCAGCCTCTCGAACAAGCCGGTTTCCGAAAGGGCTTTAGCACCATAGACCACATACATACCCTTCGGCAAATTGTACAGAAGTCCGAGGAGTACAATTTGCCACTATGTCTGGCGTATGTGGACTATGGAGAAAGCCTTTTATTCCGTTGTAATTGGGCGGTGCTGTAGCCCTTCAGTGGTGCCAAGTTGACTGTCGGTACATCGAAGTGCTGAAGTGCTTGTACAGTAGGGCTACGATGGCTATCCGAGGACATAACCAGAGTACGAAACCTATCCAACTGCAGAAAGGTGTAAGACAGGGTGACGTTATTTCCCCGAAACTCTTCACCGCTGCATTGAAAGACGTTTTCAAGCTACTGGACTGGAAAGGATACGGTATTAACGTCAATGGCGAGTACATCACTCACCATCGATATGCCGACGATATAGTTCTTGTGGTAGGATCGCTGGAGGACCTAAGCACTATGCTCATTGACCTCAATAGTGTTTCTCAACGGTCTATAATAGGTCTTAAGATGAACATGGACAAAACAAAGATCATATTTAATGTCCATGTCACACCTATGCCGGTAGGTTTTGGGAGCACTAAGCTCGAAGTTGTTCAGGAGTACGTTTACCTGGGACAAATAGTCCGACTAAGTAAGTCCAACTTCGACCGAGAGTTCAATCAACGGATTCAACTCGGCTGGGCAGCTTTCGGGACTCTACGACACATCTCCTCGTTTGGTATACCTCAAAACTTGAAAACGAGACTGTACAACCAGTGCGTGTTGCCAGTGATTACATATGGAACTGAGACGTAGTCCTTCACTGCTGTCCGGTTGAGGAAGCTCAAGGTCACTCAGCGAGCTATGGAGAGGGCTATGCTTGGAGTTTATCTGCGTGATAAACTTAGAAATAACGATATCCAAAGTAGAACCAGAGTGACCGACATAGCCCAACGGATTAGTAAGCTGAAGGGGCAATGGGCCGGCCATATAGCTCGAAGAACCGACAACCGATGGGGAAAAAAGATTCTCGAGTGGCGGCCTCGTACTGGCGGACGAAGTGAAGGGCGTCCCCTCACTAGATGGAGTGACGACCTGGTAAGATATGCAGGAACTCGATGGATGCAGGTGGCTCAGGACCGTGCTTTCTGGCATTCCTTGAGGGAGGCCTATGTGTGCCTGTAATGATGATGAATGATGATGATTAATCCATGCAAACTAATCATCGGGTGGACTGTGTGCTCATTTGTCACCCTTATTTATATAAAATGATCTGGTACTCTGTAAGGTAAAGGCACGAGGGATTCAAAATTGGCACCATATTCCGACGTATTTAGAGAAACTGCATTTACCAGCGATTTACAAGTTCTTTTTTATTGTGAGATCACTTATTCAATTGATAATATAACTTTGCGTGCTTTTAAAATATTTGATAATTTTTGAATCAGCAGCTGGTCCGAACCCTCGCTTCACACATATTGGACCTTGTGCACGTGAGTACCAGGTTTTTAAATAGTGATTTTATTGGTTATTTTGGTACCATGTGTGTAATTCTTTGAGTTTAAACATTTCATGGATTATATTTTTAATCGAAAACACTAACCTTTTATATGTTTTTTTAAATAAATCAAGGTGAAAATACGTCATGAAAAGGCCGCGGAATTAGGTGCCTAATATTTCAGCCAGTTCTTTATTCTGATGTATACCGCGAAATAGCGATTTCAGATACTTCTTTTTTTTAATTTTCAGGGTTGCTTTTATGATTAGGCCTTGCCAGCTTTGGGTTTTACAGTTTAAAAAGACAATTAATACTAAAATCTATTTCCGAAATGTACTTTTACGTTTCATTCACTAATTGTAGCATGTCAAAAGGGATTCATTAAGGTGTTTTGTTAATTCATTGTACGAGGAAGCTAAGAAGGAAATTTTAAGTTCATACAAAATTCGATGTAATTTTTAGCAAGTGATATATTATACCTAGTCAGGTTATAAGTATTGTCACACAGTAAAAACTTTTCTTTTATTATACTGGCCACAAAAAAGTTTATTGAATTAGTATTTCGAATTGTTCATGAAAATAAAACTGTATACTTTTAGAATTTTACTCATTTTTAAAAATGGAGTGGACGCTTAAAGAAGACCGTGTTGCAGTTATTGCGTTGCATCGTTGCGGTTACGCGCCAATTCAAATTTTTGACATACTGAAAAATTTGAATATAACCAAAAGATTCGTTTATCGTACCATCAAACGATATAATGAAGACTCTAGTGTAGATGACAGGTCAATAAGTTGTCGCCCTCAGTCTGTTAGGTCTCCAGCAGTGATAAAAGCTGTGAAGGCGCAAATTCAAAGAAATCCCAAACGTAAGCAGAAACTGTTGGCCCTTCAGATGGGGTTAAGCAGAACCACGGTGAAAAGGATGTTAAATG